AACTCGTCCCTAGATCGAGTCACCGTTTTACTAACCTTATTAAAGACGCGCTAACTGTTTACTTCGAATACACAGGGAATAATCTCAGACTCAAGGTACCCTGCACTTATGTTAGTGACGAGAGGCTTTCGAGTCCAACGAAGCGTCAGCTCCAAAACTGTTGCTTAAAATGAAGACGACGATGGCTGTGAAACTTTACACTCTATTCGACAGCAGACCGCCCGTACCACAGACCGTTTTTTCCACCTCGTTACCCGAGAAAACATCTTAAGCAGTGGGTGGAACTAGAAGATTTGCGCCTTGAAAATAACGCCTAGCGAGAACCATTTTCCAGCCCGAGAAAAAAATTTTCACCTGTAACATCTTTCCGGTACCTAGCTGCCACACCGAAGGAAGCACGAGGCCTGGGATATTGTCGGGTTGCCCAAGTCTAGGCAAGGGATGTCGAGAGGCAGAGGTCGGATTCGAACCACGAACCTTCCGGTCAGTAAATCCGCGCGAGCCATCTCGCCCCCAAGCTGAGAACGCTGGCTTCATTCGAAACATACTTCGGGACGACATGAGAGCGTTGATTGAGTACTCGACTGTAGCTCTAGAACTAACACATGTGAACTCTACTGGCAGATGGCCGTGGTCAGAGGGCGAATTTACTGACTGGCAGGTCCGCGGTTCGAACCTGACCTCTTTCTCTCGACTTCCTCTGTCTAGGCTTGGGCAACCTGGCAGTATCCCAGCCCTCGTGATTTCTTCGAGTGACATGGAAGCCAGTTACCGACAGGGTGTTACAGCTGGACGATTTGCTCCCTATTTTATGGGAAGATTCTTTATCTATTCTGCCGGCACAGGTTACCTTTGCCTACTTGTCTTCCTGAAGACGATATTAGATTACTTTAGTCATTAGACCCTTACAGGACCATAGTCTACGGCAAGAAATAGCGAGGTGTTAAGGATGAGAACCACCGAGTTTGAGATTTTTGTTCTCAGCTGCTCACTGGCTAAGAGCCTTGTGTGCGAGTGTTTTGAACTGCTTCTCATTAAAACTGAAAATGGACTATGAACCGACCATGGAGTTTTACCCCAGAAGCTGCAGCATTACAAAACGTATCCATCTCGTCTGAGTTGGATGGGAAACTATACCGAGCATTTTAACCTAGCCTCCGAAGTAGAAGTTCCCCGGTGAGTCTAGTTAGCTGAGAAGTTCCAGACAAAAAACAGAGAATCTAACACATACAACCTTCGAAATATCATTCCAGCACGTGTTTACCTTTATTGGAAATCAAGTTAGGGTGTGCTTCTGTACCATTCTTATTCAGATAAATACAAGACGACACTTCACGTATGGCGGTCGACCACTTTATTTTCTGGAAGCCACCCATTGGCGACATCTGACCAGGAGGGTTGTATATGCGAGTTAAGCCACGACGACCCTGAAAGCCAATTTCCGGAGTTTAAGAAATACAACTGAGACTGAGACCCGGGTTTCAAAGTGCCCATTTAAGCATGGAGCACGGCTGTCTGAGGGCCAAACAAATGGCCCCGATGAGGATTTGAATTTGGGTTCCTGCTAAACAACGATAAGAACTGTTCCTGAGAAAGGGGAAATAGGGGTTATTGAAGAGTACCATCGTCCGTAACGGTAGGGCAGAGATGTGTTACTCTGTGAACAGCCTTGAACCAAACGCAATTGAAGACTGTCGGAAACAGTACCGGTTGGATAGCCATATTGCAGTACTTGGCTGACTGTATAAGGCGTATAAGGCCAGCAGTAAATGTTCGCGTAGAATGCATCAAATTCACATATCTTACCCTTGTTCTCGGTTTTCCGGTCAGCGCAGGCGAAACCATAGCGGGTGTTCGACTGAAAAGGAATGCGTTCACTGTGCAAGGGTTGTTCATTACCTCCGGTTTATTTGTAATGTTACCAAGGACAGGGCGAGCACGAAGACAAACCCTATCTTTGGCTTTCTCGATGAGCATTTCTGATGTGGCGTCCCGGTCTCCGAGTGAAGTGCAAGCATGATTATTTAGGAATGTATCGCATGCTCCAAGATCCATAGGGGGAATGAGCTGCGACGAAACACATAAAGTATTTGTTGAGCTTTTGTTCTTACCACAAAACTTCGCGTCAACCACGTCCGGGGGCCGAGTAGATGAACAGAACCAAGTATCCCATCGCGCTTGAAAGTCGCGGCCGCCGGTGGAACAGCTGATTGCGGTTCATTAAAACACCATTTGAATTCAAATCGCAGAACAATCCAGAATGACGTGAAGGATTGTCTAATACAGGCTTAGATCGATTGGCAGAGGGCTTGAAGGGACGTAGATTGCCGCTGTCCTGCTTTCGGTGAGTGATGGCCACTGAAGGAACGCATATTCCCGCTGTCCTGCTTTCGGTGAGTGATGGCCATTATGCCTTTGGATACTCAATATAGCATGAAGTAGGCGCTCAGTATTCGCACAAAGTGAGCCTTCGAAGCCCAATGCACTTTTCTGCAAAACTCCTGTGGGTGAAATAAAAAATCTAACGTCAAAATAGTGCACTTCTTTGCATAAGTGCTCAGTCCAAAAGTCACCATCATCTGCCGTCACATTTTTGCCATTTGTTTTAATCGACTAATTTTGAAAATTATTGGTGCTCACTGTAATATGCACGCTATGGAAGCACCAGGGGACAGTGATTCTCCGAAGGCAGGTGTTCACGACAATTTCTGTGGATGGAAAACAGAAACAAAGCTCATGAGCCAGAGCCCAGTAAGCAAGGTTGTTCATCACCAATAATTACATATGAATCAATCAAACTGACAGACAACGTATACCACATCGGCCTCCTTTTTGAAGAACACCGTCCCCGGTGTACCATGGCCTACGTGAACCGGCCGGTGCTAGTGGTGTGGTGCGTTAAGCTGGTGAGCGTGTGCAGAGGTTGCTGTATCTGGGGCTGCGTCTACCGTGTGTGGGTGAGCAACGTGCTAGCTCTGAGGCCTGTATGCATATATGTAGAGCCAGGATCTCTGTGGTAGGTCTACCAGTGTGTGGTAACCATCCTGGCGTGGTCGCCAATTATGTACTATGCACTCTATGGCCACACCAGGGGACAGTGATTCTCCGAACGCAGGTGTTCACGACAATTTCTGTGGATGGAAAACAGAAACAAAGCTCATGAGCCAGAGCCCAGTAAGCAAGGTTGTTCATCACCAATAATTACATATGAATCAATCAAACTGACAGACAACGTATACCACATCGGCCTCCTTTTTGAAGAACACCGTCCCCGGTGTACCATGGCCTACGTGAACCGGCCGGTGCTAGTGGTGTGGTGCGTTAAGCTGGTGAGCGTGTGCAGAGGTTGCTGTATCTGGGGCTGCGTCTACCGTGTGTGGGTGAGCAACGTGCTAGCTCTGAGGCCTGTATGCATATATGTAGAGCCAGGATCTCTGTGGTAGGTCAGGTTTAAGTTAATCGACGGCTAACTGAAGACGAGTTGGGCACCTGAAAGGCCCTTCTGAAATATGGAACGCCCTCATGTGAGGTGTGGTAATTTGTGGAGGACGAATTCCGCAAGATTCTTACCACTGAGGATATACAAATACCGCCGGAAGTGTCGATGGGCTATGTTGGGTAGGTGCCGAATAGTTGGGTTTAATATGGCAGGTGCTATGTCTTCGGTCCTGGCAAAACTTCGGGAGACCGGAAGCGTCATTGTGTGTCAATCAGAGGAAGATCACTATAACCACATATGCTTCTCTTGATGGCAGCAGATAGCGTTGTTCCGATGCTTTCCAGATGTAGTGCATGTGGAGGGAACGTATGCAACAAACCGCCTGGCGTAATTTTTTGAAGCACCTAATATTCAGCATTTAGATATAAGCTGTACACCTTCTTGATAACGGACGGCATGGGACCCCGGTGTCCGGTTACGTATGTATTCGTAGAGACCGAGTAGTTTGTTCCCATGCGTAAACTGTTTGGATTATTCAAAGAAATAATGGGCGAAACTTATCCGGTTAAGACCTTTGTAATGGACCAGTTGGCGGCGCAAATGCGTGCAGCAAGAGGCGTGTTCGGCTGTGACGTTAAGCTTTGCTACTTTCATGTCCGCAAAGCCATCGGGAAGCACGTATGTATCATTTACTATCCATGTATTTTTGGTCATAGACACATTCTGCGATTAGCCGGCACATGTAACACCACATGGATCGCCTGGAAAACGATGTACGGTAGGTTTTTTGTTCATCGCATTACAAGCACACAGTTTCCGGCAAGACCTGCAGCTGCTGTGCCGCTGGTTGTATATAACCCGAAAATGGGCCGTACACGCACAGTCCAGAATTGTTCACTTCGGTAATGTGACCAACAACCGATTGCAGAGTGCGAACGGCCGCCTTAGAGGCTGCGTGCACACTCCGACACGTTGGAGCATGCAATTCAAAAGGTGTCCCTGCTCGTCGAGATGCATACGTCGTACAATGCGACAGGCGACAAAACCTGAAGGGCGACGCCTACGTTCTAAACGTGGTCTGTCGAATGACGACATATGCATGCTCTCTCGTTTTGAGGCACTTGGGTCCGCGACCGCTGCGGCTGCCGTATGAGAGCGTTGGAACAAACAAGGTGAGGTTGAGCTACGTAAACTGACTTATAGTTTGTGGTGCAAACACACTGATGCTCCCAGTCTGTGGACACCTGTGCTGGAGAATGCACATGCCCTTTCTACCAGGCAAAGTGGCTCGCCTACATACATCTGTTCTCTGTATTTCGAGATCGGTCCGTTCCGAGCGAATGGGATACTCGATGTGGTCCCTAGGAGAAATGGCTCATAACTGTTAATTCTGTGGCTGATGAGGCACAGACTAATGCGCTGAATGCATTTTGTAGCCACAGACGAGCGTCGGGTTGTGCGTTGCTGATAGACGCTTAAGCAACGAGCGACTCGACCCAACATGGACAACTCCGTTTGCCTGTTCCCAATGCTTTTAGGCATCGCGGTCACACTCTACATGAAACAATCACCATGCCGCCCTAACTAGCGCAAGATGCACCAGAGGCAGTGGGGACAAAATTTTTGGTAAAAACTCTTCATCATTGATTTTTCCTTAGCTTGCTTCCCAGTTCACCGACGAAAACTGTCGGATCACAACCTACCGATAAAAAGTGTACCCCTTACACGTGTTCCCAAACCACCGCCGACAGCTTTCGACGGCCTTCGTAAACAACTGAACCGAGTAATGGATAAGCCTCAGAGGCTGGAACCCAGGAGGGCCACAACCATATTTAAGCGACCGTCCATTGCTACGTCAAGGCTCAAAATCTGCAACCGACGACCTGCCGTTGGTGGTCGAGGATACTGCACCCCAGCCCAGATAGCGATCTTGGAACGTTGACTTGGGTTTTTGTGTGCTGTGTGATCGGCCGACTACCACCAGTGACCGCTGGTGTGCAACGGATCACGTGTCATATCACGCCGACTGTTGTGATGGTGAACCTTGCCCGCTGTGTGGTGGTGCTCTTCGGGCTTGTCCCAACGGTGAGTCCACATTAAAATAAATTGCATTTTGTTCTTACCTCCGGGCCCATCCAGAAAACGCAGAAGTGTACTTGCTACCCTGTCCGCAAAGAGGGCGTCTTTTGATGTCGACCCAAACCCAAGCACTGACCCAGCACAGTGTGCCCCGGAAGTCTGTGTGCGTCCGTCCTTTCGAGTCCACAGAGGAACTACTCGACAGCCGTGAGTAAATATCTGACAGCCATGACTAACGCTGTAGAGCGCCAGCTAGATGAAAGAGACGAAGATGGCTTCATGTGACCCATAGGCTCCGAAAAGCTTGCCTGTTAATGAGGCCCTATGCATTTCATGTAAGTCTCGTATTTCTTGAGAGGTGCAGTAAACAGGCATTCAAAATAGCCGCTGAAGATGGTATTGTGTGAACAGGCATCTACGACAACATAGTCACCGGAGTGAACTTTGAGGTAAGTGTCTGTGACAGTTTGTCGGCCGACCGCCTTGTAATGATATTTCGATTACCTGAAATATATCTTCCTCCCATTTCAGGACATCAACGGCAAAATGAACACCCATTACGAAGAAGAAAATGCGCCTCCCAGAAGGACATATGTACACTTTAAAACAACCAATATATCTCAACATTTAATAACATTCGTTTTGAACCTTTTCTCCGGTGCAGAAGGATGAGTGCCCTCAGGCATCATGCACCCCTAGCCGCGTGTTAGTCGTGTGCGTCAGTTAGGTTCGTTCAGCTGTCCGGTATGATCAACGTAGGTTTTATATGGCTAGTTAGCTAGGCATCGTGTGCCCCTGGCCGCGTGTTAGTCGTGTGCGTGTGCATCAGCTAAGCTCGTTCAGCCGTCCGGAACGATCGACGGATGCTCCATGTTCCTAATCGATAAACCCCGAGGTCTTCCTAGCATAATTCGCAACCTACAGTGGAAAACTCTGCTTTTTGCCGGCAAACGTGCACGACTTTTAGCTCTAGGGAATTTTAACTGGCAATAGGAATCATCTACCATTTGTTTGCACGAGTGCACCTACGCATATCTTGCATCTCCAAAAGCCAATTAGATTCTAGAATGTTCGTGAAAATTTTTTTGTTGGAACACTATCTGAAATTTTTGCCCAGCGTAAGTGAGTCAACGTTTTCCACAATTCGCGATTTTTATCATCAGGCAACGTATTTACAGTCGGCGGTGTTTATTGACATTGAGCATTCGCTCCTTTAAACAAATCGCCATAGTAAATGATTTTCAATAATAGAAAAGCATATACATTATACATAGACATTCTACACTATCAAGTGGCATGCCTGAAAATGCCGTAGGTTTCGAGGAATTCATCCCATTGTGCGAATACTGAGCGGCCTGGTGAACCCTAGGCCACTGAGTATTTTGCTTGATTGGCTGGCTGTTCTCGATAAATGTTTAGCCGTATCAACTAGCGTGGCAACAACGATGATAATAAATAATATTAACCACAACAAGCATTCTACTAATAAAAATTTGTAGCGCTGAAAACTGAGAGCGAAATTGCGCATCACAATAGACGAGCAACCACATAGCATATGGTTGGATCGTTGATCTCATTAGTGGGAAGGTACGGATGAGTTCTGTCCGGAATCAAACGGAGATCTAGGAGGTATCTCTGTGAGGTGTTCAGCCAGTTTCACGCCTAAAATCTCAGGACTGGAGGTTTGGAGGGTGAATCCCATCTGGTCTCAACAAGGAGGATTGTGGGAGGCCTATAAATCCTCAGGTTCATGTCTAGAATCGGTGTGGCATCAGCTTCGATGGTTGAACTATAAAATGTTGGAGGTGGCTTGCGAGAGAGTGGATAAAAATTTGCCCCAAAACTCCACGGTAAGAATCCTGGGTGCGGTTCATTTGGCTTAAAAATGTTGAAGAACAGGTTGGTGCATGAAGAGCGCATTCAAGTCATCAGAGTGCAGAGGAAATCAACAAACTTCTAAAGGAGGGTTGAATAAGGAAGCATTAAACATCAGTACTAGCGTCCTACCTGACAATTAACTTGGTCACGTCAGGCTTGCTAATTTAATAATGTGCTCGATGCTACTGTTTAACGTTTGCCTCCACCGAGTAAGTCAGGCTATCATAACTCAGTGTAGCAATTAAGCAGGGCGTGACCCTAGCTACGAACTTGGCGCCAAACGGGCTTTTGCTTGGCGCGGAGCGACCAAGCCTAAATCAGTGGTCTACCCGTTGGCGGTTATGGAATAAACACTCGTGTTCTTGAAAGCACG